ACCAACCACACTTTAGGAGTGACGAATACAGAGACCTGGTACACTACGTGCCACAGGGTCTCCAAAAGGACCCCCCGCAGGTTCTGAATTCAGAGTTATCCTTCTACTAGACCAGTTGCCATCCAAAGCTATAGAACCCACTCTGTCCTGTTGTTTACCCATAGCTGGACGGAGAAGAGGATTGATAGCTTTCTCAAGGGCATTAGCACGTAAATGAATGTAATGGATTCGACTGTGTATATATATATATATATATATATATATATATATATATATATATATAGTGTGTGTGTGTGGGCATAGGTCTTAGCTCTGGAATGCCTTTTTAAGGCATAAATTCATTTGTCAGGCAACACTGCCTATATTATATTTTCATGCGTATTATCACTGATACTCAGCACTATGAATAGAACATACCTTAAAAGGCATATTTAATGGGTATCGACTTGTTGAACGAGTATGACCATCGCTGACAAGTTTGATCAATGTTGTTAGTTCTCAGGAGAACGGCAATTGGCTGTTAAAACCAGCAAGCCGCTTGCAATGCTTACGTGGTAAACTAACTTGTTTTGTTCTGGTTCTGACCTGTTTTGTAAAGTCTGTTTAGCTTCCCAGTGTGTGACAAGTGAGACCGGATCGCTTTCTGCAGGTTTTCCGACACACCCTGCAAAGTTATTTCCAGCATAGTAATGATCGTAATTTGTGAAAAGTCTACACAAATTACTATTTTTGTGCCTAACGAGGTCTGCATTGGAGGGTTATACTCTGCCATATCACATGTAAATTGATAGAATGCTGGATCAATGATGCCCCCTTTTCTAGCTGAACGATTGACATTTGCCCAACTCATTGAAGGTTCTTGGAAGATTTGAGTGCCTCCGTGAATTGTATGCCTCCATTTATTTCAATCAAGCACTTTTCCGTTCTGAAACTTCTATATGGCAGCTTTTAAGGGACTCTTTGAAATAGTACTTGAAGTGCTTGTGGAATTCCTTAAAGCAGTGTTACCCAATTTCTTTCAACCAGCGCCCCCTTTGGCACTAACCTTTTGTCAGCCACCCCCCACACACCCATAAAGTTAAATTTCGGATATTATACTGAATCTGTTCTTTTCTATCTATCTATCTATCTATCTATCTATTTTTTTGTCTGTCTGTCACAATCTGCTCTTTCTCCGTCTATCACAATCTATCTATCTGTTTGTTTGTCTGTCTGTCACAATCTGCTATTTCTCCATCTATCTATCTATCTATCTATCTATCTATCTATCTATCTATCTATTTTTTTGTCTGTCTGTTACAATCTGCTCTTTCTCCGTCTATCACAATCTATCTATCTATCTATCTATCTATCTATCTATCTATCTATCTATCTATCTATCTATCTATCTATCTATCTATACAGGCACGTGTGTAAGCAAATAATGGATGTTAATCCAATGTTCTATTACTTTAAACGTAACTTTAGTGGATGCATGGGTTTGACAAGGCATTCCCTTTGCTGAATATATCGACCAAAATTAATTAATTTTTTTCTGTTTAGGCCAGTGGACTTAAGTTAAGTCCACTGGCCTGAACAGAAAAAAAAACTTATGTTCACTCAAGCTAATGTAACCACTAAAATAATGTTTATAGGACAGAATGCGATAGAAATCCCTGCCACATATACATCCTAGAAATACCTCCCACATAAGACATTAGTTGCGTTGATGTCTTCATCTAGCTAATGTTTTAAAATTATGTGGGAAGCATTTCTAGGAGGTAGACCTAGGAGGTACTTCTGCCACACCCTGTAATTAAAATCAGTCTCTCTCTCTCTCTCTCTCTCTTTTTATACACACACACACACACACACACAGATATATATATATATATATATATATATATATATATATATACTGATACCCCTGACGAGTGGACGGGTCCGTCTACGAATTTCTGGAGTCTGTATGCTGAAGGTAACATCAATCAGCTAAGTGACAAAAATTTTACTAATTAATTATATACACACATACACACACACACACACACACATATATATATATATATATGTAGGCTTTGGTGAAATAAATTATTATAATGGAACCCTAAAGTGGTTTGTTTTTCTTTAAAGTATATATATATATATATATATATATATATATAATGGAACCCTAAAAGTGGTCTGTTTTTTCTTTAATATATATATATATATATATATATATATATTAATTATGTTTATATTGCATTAATTATAGGACGAAGCAGATTTTACGTTATCTGTATTTATGTAGTAAACTATTGATCAGGCTAGTATTTTCAATGAGCATCTGATAGTCTGTGCGAACATCTACATTTGTCAGTTGCCTTTGGAGAACTTCATAAATAGTAATTCGTTTTGATATGATGACCTCCACCTGATGATGTCCAGCGAATCCTGTGATTGAAACATACTAATTCAAACATCAAAGATGAGAATGTTAGTCCAGATGATTTAATGAATAAAAAAAAGTACATCGTGAAGATTAAGGAAATTGTCTTTACCTGATCACCGTAGATAACACATTTTAAAACTTGATATTTACGCTGACAGATAATCGGCTTATGACTTTATCTTTTTCAAAGAAGCACATTCTTTGACGTTTGGGTTAAAAATAAATATGAAAACACGAACAGGCGATTTTATGAAGGCGTAGTCAACGAAATAATACATTTTCGTTTTAACAAAGGAACAAATTCTTTCAAGAAATCACGAGAGAGAAGCAAAAAAGTAAGCGATGTCTATGAAAATTTGTACCTTTAAGGGATATTATGTTTATGGGGTAAAAGTATTCAGTAGCCGGGATATAGCGGATATAAAAATAGGTAATTGTTAAGGGGTCCACCCCTTTTTGATACAAGTGGACTCGCCCAGTGTGTACTTGGAGTACTGTCGGTGAATAACTGGGCGTGATACAGTGATAGGGTGAGAGAGTGAGAGTGTGAGGTAACCGCTTTGTAGGAGTCACAGTTGCGAGCACGTCGACTCAGAAGGAAGTCATACTTCGATATTGAATTTCCCAGACTGTATATATATTATTATTGCTACTAACCGCATTTCTTGATCTACTAACCGTATTACCAATTGTATTATTACGTCAATACATTTATTTGCTATATTTCATTCCTGGGTTTGTCAATCATTTGAGACCGGATTTCATCCCAGAATCCACAACAGTAATGTAACCACAGCGCTCAACACAGAATGTATCGAAATAGACTGTCGATATTCGGTGTCCAGACTGCTTTATATATATATATATATATATATATATATATATATATATGAAAGTGAACATTGAAGTCAACACTCAGAGTATTGACTTCATTGTTCACTTTTATAATTACATACGCTCTATCTCTGATATTGAGCACTTTTATATATATATATATATATATATATATATATATATATATATATATATATATATATATCGGGTCTAAGAGCAAAATTGTCCAAATCGTGCATAATTGTCCATTCCACAAAATGTTTAATATCTAAAGAAAAAACACTAATTGAGTTTCTTTTTTCAGTTTTTCAGATAAGATTTTTGCCCATCTTGACATCATCTGTCGTAAGAATCACCGAAAACCCCTTTGAGTTATTCACCTAGAAAAAAAACTGGCTAAAATCATTTTATGTCAGCCCCACTATGTCTTCCCAACTGAGCAATGGTGAGACGTAAAAGATCATTCAGTCTTTCTGTAATGATATCAACATTGCTACTCTGCCTTCCATCTTCAAAGTCCTTTCAAGAACCTTCAAAAGAACGGGGAAAATGTTTAAAAAAGAGGGGACAGTAGAGAGGAAAATTGAATCAGGAGGTCACAACAGCAACAGCGATCACCATTTCAACTTAAATATATTCTTCTTGTTCAAAGTAGAGTCCAGCAGTGGCAAACCATTATTATGCAATTACACAAATAGATAAGCCAATAGTGTTATTAATGACAACCAAAAAATTGCTAACACGTAGCGTCGATTTTAAAAACGACAGCACCGAGTGTCGAACAGACAGAAATACGATATTTGTAAAAGCGAATTAAGTAGTAAAGGAAAATTAATTGCCCATTTCACGCATCGGTGATTATCAGGCGACTATTGATCGGCGAAGCGTGAAACTGACAGTCACATTTATTTATTTTTCTTAATTCTCATATGCAGATATATATATATATATATATATATATATATATATATATATATATATATATATATATATATCAAAAAAGGGAAAAAGTTTACTTGTGACACGTTTCGTCCTTCAGGACTTCATCGAACTAAATCTGTTACGTTGGTACGACGACACACACGCACGAACGTTCTTTTTTTTTTTTTTTTTCTTTTTTTTAAATCTTCTATTATATTCTATTTGTGTGGGATACCTAATAACAAATATGATGGAAAGAAAAAGACTTTTAATAAATTCGCCTAGAGGAAGAAAAAAATCCAAAATCCCTCGTGTAAAATAACCACAACAGCAATGGTAGTAGTAATTCCCAATTACTTTATTCTGGTACCAAAGAGATAGAAATACAAAAATATATCTGGCCCCTGGCCAGTCAGCTGTTTATATAACACCGGACGAGGTAAAATCTCTGCCTATGGAAGCCCCCTATTATTTAATGAAATCTTCCATTTCTACTCTATATGCCCCCCTCTCGCCTCTGACCACAGGACAGATTGACATGGTCAGTTGAAGGTTTGCTCCAGAATAATCTATGCGATTGTCCTCGCATTTGTGGGGATAGAGTTCAAGGTGCTTGCGTGTTTCGACGTGGGCGTTGACATGGGGTGGGGTCGTCCAATATTGGTATTCTCCAATACTATTTTGTATTGGGCCTACTGAATCCGCGGTATCATCAATTTCCATTTCTTCAGGTTCGTTATTCGCGGTATTTGGCTGATATTGATCGTTGGGTTCTAAGAAATTATAATCCGTGTTGATAACCATAAGCCTGATCCCAAGACCTGCAGATGTATTATACGGTTCTGGCCGTGTTACTATCTTGGACCGGCTGTAAATCGGGGTGCCATGAGGTCAAGAGACCCGATTCTTGGGTAGAATGATGTGGGACATCAACAAGTGGGTGGATCTTACGAAGGAAGCGTAGAGTTACCCGATTGTTTCCATCCATCTGCACACGGTACCGTCGGTTTCGTGATCTCCGGGATTCCCCTGTTTTCGTCCACCGTCGAGGATAAGGGCCATCTTGATTCTGGATCTCCGGGATTCCCCTGTTTTCGTTCACCGTCGAGGATAAGGGCCATCTTGATTCTGGATCTCCGGGATTCCCCTGTTTTCGTCCACCGTAGAGGATAAAGGCCATCTTGATTCTGGATCTCCGGGATTCCCCTGTTTTCGTCCACCGTCGAGGATAAGGACCATCTTGATTCTGGATCTCCAGGATTCCCTGTTTTTCGTCCACCGTCGAGGATAAGGGCCATCTTGATTCTGGATCTCCGGAATTCCCCTGTTTTCGTCCACCGTCGAGGATAAAGGCCATCTTGATTCTGGATCTCCGGGATTCCCCTGATTTCGTCCACCGTCGAGGATTAGGACCATCTTGATTCTGGATCTCCGGGATTCCCCTGTTTTCGTACACCGTCGAGGATAAGGGCCATCTTGATTCTGGATTTGAACAGAATCGCCAATTTGTAATTCCCGAAATGGGTGACAATGTTCATTGTAAAAGTGTTCGTTACTCATCTGTCTTTTAGCCATTGCTGCCCCCTTACCAGTTCACCAATTTGTCTCCACTGTTTACGTATCTGGTATTTTCCCATAGGAGAGTGAGGTGGTCTTCAATAACACGACAGTAAAACATAATAGCAGGAGACATATCAAGATCATGGGCGGGAGTGTTGTATTGTGTCAACAAAGAACGGATTGAACGATCATGACAAAGCCAACCACAGCTGCCCGTTTTGTTTGCTAGCATACACTTAGCTGTTTTGACGACTATTTCTGCCCGGCCATTGCTTCGTTTGTAATAAGCCGACGAAGTACGATCCCGTATTCCCCAAATCTTGTGTAGCTGGAAAAGCAGTCAGCTATGGTAATTGTTCCATGCGTCCAGAACTGTTTTCCTTGTATGAGCCTGAACGATGGCGACCTGATTAAATGGGGACAGTATGTGATGGGTTTCCCTCATGGAGGCAGAGTTCACTTCATGTAAGTCCACCGTGCGTCTGGGGTAGCCGTTTTTTTTAATTGATATTCTTGCTTTTTTATTTTCTTAAACAGTGAAATTATTAAAAATCCGGCCTAAATCGAGAAGACGGACAAAATAAAAATTCACTTCTCGACAGAAATCGAACCTGTATCCCTGCTTACGCCAGGGGCATCGCTCCGATAGCGTAAGATTGCCGTTACCAATTGGACCATGAGGAATTATTTTCGTGAAAGAAAATTCAATTACCTACATAAGGAATTCACATCTCTCGGGATTTAACAGTTTTTTTCTCCTCGATACATAATTAAAACAATGTATTTTTCCATGTGAAAAAAAAAGAATGGTGTGCGACTACCATCCTTAAGCACTAGTACTCACTGGCACCTGTTCAGTTATATCCAATGAGATGTCTCGGTTGAATTCTTGTTTCACTCTCATCTTCCAACAGTGAGGATCAGAGATAGGTTTGTAGACCGCTGATGGCGTCGCATCAGGGACGGGGGTAATGTCCAATGTCTTTCCTGTCATAGTCAGTAAGGGTTTGTGTGGGCATGTATTAAATATACTTGACTTGAAATGGTCACGTTTCCATCATAGGTGTCTGTTGGTTTCCGTCAGAAGGAACGGGAATGTACTCGGCAAGGCTGGAATGGGTTTTCTCCGTGGGCATCTGTACAGGGCATTTTCCTTTGTGCCCTTCAACGAGTTGAACCGTCATATCTGGGCCGGGAAATCAGGTGGTAACAGATATAGGTCCTTCAGGGAAGTAAAAATCAAACATCTTGTTTGACACATACACCATCTGTCGTGTCTCCCTTGAGCCAATTCTTATATGTATGAACAACACGCCTCTTAATATGAAGTTGGTTGTCTGTGATGTCCCGTATTCGATGAATAGTTGGCACGAGATACTCGTCTGCGAACCCCAATAGTTTTAATATCTCTGGTCCACTTGAAAAAGTCTAAGCCACTGTATCAGCGAACACGAGTATGTAATGACTACTGTGGTTAATTGAACTAGTCTGGGTGCATCCAAATGAAGCGTGGGTTTGATAGTCACTTCTATTGTCAGTGATGGCGGTGGATCGGGGATACACCTCCTTCAAAATCATTTCCATTCCACGCAAGATGAAGCACAGCACTGGGCGGTATCAAGTCGGTTTTATGGCCCCGCTTTGATCTTTCAGCATAACAGGTGGCAAGGCTGGGGGAACTTTCAGACTAGTGTTTGAGAAAGTTGATGAATCATGCCCTGTCTCGAACCTTGTTGATCTGTTCTTGATTCTAATTTCAATTATAGTAGATTTCTAGCATACCCTTTTTACGTGACACCTAATTCATCAATAATGACATACCAGTTTAGCTGCTGAGGCATCTCTCTTACTACCTGATACACCTAGGTGGACTGTCTTCCCGCAATCCGCACAAGGATCATTATTCAGCGTAGTAGCGGGTACATTAGTTCTTCGAGATTGACGGGCTAACATCATTTAGTAAACGTGCAGTTTACTTGTCTACCTTTACCAAGCTGACGACTCGGTCGAACTTTTGCTTGAGTGTGCTGAGGTTGGCAGCCTCGACCAAAACTCGACTCTGGTATTCCTTGTTGGCGAGTCCCGCAATCATCTGCCCAGTTATCATATCGCACGAAAAGTTGATTCGCTGATCGCAGCTTTCTGTGTTGGGACCATAAACGAATAAAATTTGGCTTGAAATGATTGACACACCTTCCGCCTGACGTGTGGACTGAAAGGTCTGCCGGTAAACTTAATGGATTTTATTTCTAATCCGACATTATTTCTCATTGCTTGAAATGGACTTGTGTAGATAAGCGTGTTTTTTTTTTTAATAGTACGTCTACTGGTCTGTAAATTTACACTGCTTTAGCTTTTTTAATCATTTCAAACCAATCAAGGCGAGAGCGTCACTAAGACACAAGATGTTATTGAAAGTGAAATAAAATGAGTAGTGAGTAGAAAATTTCACAAATACTTGGATTAATGTCAGGTGATTAAGAAGTGAATTGCATTTACTCTTATTTTATTATTTGAAAAACTATGATATGGTTTTCAAATTATTGTTTTTGGCCGTTGTCTTGCTGGAAGATGAAGCTTCTACTATCTTTAATGCTGAACTGTTATTTTTTTTTTTTTTAGAAATAATTGTGTAATGTTTTCGCGAAACCATTTTCTGAATCTTTTGTGCTAAAGCAAGCTCATAAAATGATAGTTCACCATCATGCTTTACTGTTAGGGTTGTGTTTTTTGAATGAATCCTGTAGCTCTTAGCAAATACCATATTTATTCCGAACGTCGCAAACTGGTGCTATAGACTTACTGAGAGAACTGTACTAAATAAGAAACTACGTCACTTGAGATCTTTAACTCTTTAAGAGATGATTTAACACAAAGAGGAAATAATGATAGCAGATGTTGACATCCCACACTACTTCAAACAAAAGCTTAGGTAGGAACCCCTATTAATACTATAAAGTGAGAATGTTGAAAAGCTGTTTCCTTAAAAATTGTCTAAAGAGAAAGATTTTATAAATTTTAGCCGACAGTAGCATTGAATATCGAATGTTTCATTATAAGAAAACGACTATTTCTATTAATATTACCATATTTTACATTGTGTGCTGCCTTTTTTTTCTCTCCAAACGTAATGATGCTGGCGAGGGCCTAAAACTTCAATTGTTGTTTCGTCTGATTTTATTATATTTTATTATGCCTTTTGATTCCTTGGGGAACATAGGACCGCAACAAAACCTTTCCAGCAGACTGGCGATCCTCTTCAGCTCGGTCCAAGCCGTGCCGGATGCCTTCACCTCTGCGTCAACACTTCTCCGCTAAGTCTGTTTCGGTCGACCAACTTTTCGCTTCCCTTGTGGATTCCAGTCAACGGCCTCCCTGGTGACATTAGAAGCAGGCTTGCGGAATGTGTGGCCTATCCAGCCTCATTTCCGTTTCCGTTTCGTTTGATTAAATTCTTTTAATTATTCGACTGATCCAAAACCATTAAAAAAAACAAATCCTTTTTTGATTTCTTTAAAAGTTATTTTTTGTTTAACCCATTTGTGAAATCTTTGTCGTTTGAAGTTTATAAGAATTGGTGAAACCTCTACACCTGTTCCATCAGATTCTAAAACTTTTTTGGATATCTTTTTTTTTTGCTCGATTTCTTTGTCCCCTCCTCGTATTGCAATCTCTCTTTTATAACTCGATCTTGTACATTTTTATACGGCAGTAATTTCCTTCCATTTATAAACAAGAAGACGACAATGTGAGAGGGCATGACAAACTACATGAATATTTTCTTATATCCCTCCCCGGATTGATAAGCCCCCAACCAATGTCTTTTTCATGGTCTCTAAGTACTCCAAAGAGTTCCTCGTGTAAAAAAAAAAGGTTTGATTTATTAAATAGATTAAATAGATTAATTAAAGCTTTCTGCAGAGAACATTTATTTTAAGGCGGACTTTCAACATACATTACAATGGATGGGATTTAGCTCCTATTTTTTTTAAATTTTTTAATTTATTGCCAAACTGATTTATTCCCTGACATTCGAAGACTTATGCAAAAGATATTATAGCCAATTGTGGAAAAAATAATTCAAAAATATTAATTATCTCTTATTTATTCTCAGTCAACAGATTAAACAGTTTTATTAACGCTAACTTAGCAGATGAATGTTATGAAATCCAATTTAATCAAAAGAAATATGGTAATAGTCTCGAAGTGGAATATTTTATGTTACAAGTTGTCAAGTGTGCATTTACATTCTTCACCCAAGTATAAGAAGTCAGTTTTCAAGCAAAGACTTCGAATTGTGATTCTAAGGCAGGGTTTCCTTAACTAGAAGCTTGTCTGTCGTCAAGGCTTTTGGTATAGTAAGATCATCAGTCCACCATAGTCGGGATCAGCGAACGATCCTTTCTTTAGCTGTATAGTATGTGTCTACGCCAGAGCTACATATAGTTTTGAATTCAGAGTTACTTTCTCCTAGACAGGTTGCCACCCAATGCTATAGAACGAAGTCTGTTCTGCTATTTACCCATAGATGAGGGGGGAGGATTCATTTCCCAAGTAAATCTAATGGATCCGACCGGAATTCGAACTCGGCTCTGGAATTCTCAATCCGAGCCGCTATCTATTGCTCCACCGTGCCTCCTTGTAAGATAAATTTCGTTAATATGAAGAAAAAAAAAAAAAAAAAAAAAAAAAACGAAAAAAAAAGACAAAGCAAAATAAAGAGAACAGTAAAAATAAAAGAAAGAGATGTCGGAGAAGAAAAAAGAGAAAAGAAGCAATTGAAATAGAAAAATTAGT